TGGGGTTCCAAAATTGCTCCAGCAATCAGCCATGATGCCCTCAAGTACCTCACTCAATTTTCTGCTGCTCTGCTTGCTCCTGGTGGGGGGATCCCGCAGCAGCCCCAAGCTCCCTGCTTCAGTTCACTGAACCCCACTGAACCTCACTCTACCCCACCGATGTTTACTGCACCCCACCAATGCTTGCAGCTCCCTGGCTCTCAAATGTCCACATTGGTCCACAGCAATGTTTTGAGAAGCACCTACATATATTTTGTGCTCCCTTTTTTACAACAGTTTGTTTCCCAAAGTACCCATTTACTCCTGGTGGCTCTGGCCAGGACTCAGTTGGCCTGTGTGTGATCCAAATTCTAGCTCTCAGGTCCTTCTCCCGGCTGTGCTGGGTTCCGGCTGCGCTGGGTTCCAGCTGCGCAGGGTTCCGGCTGCGCAGGGTTCCGGCTGCACCTTTCTACCAACTGAATGACCAAGGACACACACAGGTGACGAGACTCATGCAGGCAGCTGCAAATACCTTTTTAAGAAGACATAAATGGTGATTTTACACGTGGACCTCACCTGATGGGCTGCATGGGAATCAGATTGACTATATCTGTGGAAGGAATCGTTGGAGTATAAGCAGTTACAATTATGCCATGTGGACCATCAATAGATGCTTAGCCCATCAATTACGTAATGTGCGTGTTAAAGTTGGGGCTGAAGAAAATGAAAATAAGTCCTTGAGAAACAAAATATAATATTAAATTTATTCCATCTGAATTTCAAAATTATTTTAAGAGTAGGTTTGAAGCACTGTACTCCAATGATTGAAGACCAGATGAGTTGTGCGATGATATAAAAAAAAATATCATCTATGAAGAGAGCAAAAGTTCATTACAGAGACAGAGGAGAAAGGAAAAACAAAAATACATGTCAGAAGAGACTCTGAAAATTGAACTAGAATAAGACTGAAAGATGTTATGGACAATATATTCAATGACCCAGAAAGCATCAAAAGAAGATGGACGGAATACACAGGGTTATTGTATCAGAAAGAACTGATTGACACTGAAAAATTTCAGGAATTACCATAATAGCAGGGACCAATGGTAATGAAGGAGGAAGTAGAAGCTGCATTGAAGGCATTGGCACAAAATAAGGCCCCAGGAATCGATGTGATAGCAATTAACTTATTTCAATTAACAGACACAGCCTTGGATGTGCTAATCAGTCTATGCCAGGAAATTTGGAGAACTCTGTCTGGCCAATGGACTGGAAGAAGTCCATATTTGTTCACCTTTCCAAGAAAGGTGATCCAGCTGAGTGTGAAACTACTGAACAGTATCATTAATATCATATGCAAGCTGAAGACCACTAAAAAATGTCTAGAAGAGTAGATAGGAAACTGTCAGAAATTCAAGCAGGATTTAGGAAAGGCTGTGGCACCAGGCACATTATTGCTGATGTCAGATGGCTCCTGGCTGAAAGTATAGAATACCAGAAGAATGTCTATTTGTGCTTTATTATTTATGCAAAGGTATTTAACCGTGTGTATCATAGTAAGTAGTGGCTGACATTGAGAAGAATGGGAATTCCAGAGCACTTAATTGTGCTCATGTGAAACCTCTATTGGGATCAGGAGTCTGTTGTGTGAACAGAACAGGGGAACACTTCATGGTTAAAAATTAAGAAGGGAGTGTATCAGGACTGTATTATCTCTCCATACCTATTTAATCTGTACAGTGAATAAATTATTTGAGAAGCTGAATTCTATGAAGAGGAATGTGGCATCAGGAGAGGAGGAAGATTCATCAATAATCTGCACTATGCAGATGAAACAACCTTTTTGCTGAAAGTGAGGATGAACTGAGGCACTTGTTGGAGAGGACCAAGGAATACAACCTTTAATTTCTATTGCATCTCAGTGTCAAGAAAACAAAGATTCCTACCACTGGAATAGGCAACATCATGGTGGGTAAAGAAGATACTGAAACTGAACAACTTGCATCCACAATTAACACCCTTGGCACCAGCAGTCAGGAAATAAGGATATATATTGTATTGGGAAAGTCTGCAGTTAGGGACCTTCCAAATTATTGAGGAGTAATGATGTCATTTTGAGGACTAAAGTGCATCTGATTCAGGAAATAATGATATTTCTGATCATTCTGAGAACTGAACAATGCATAGGGATGAAAGAAGAAAAATTAATGCCTTTGAGTTGGGGTGTTGGAGAAGAGCACTGAACATCCCATGGACTACCAAAAAACCAATGAAAAATGTCTTAGAGAAGGTGCATCCCAAGTGCTCTTTGGAGGTAAAAATGATGAGGCTTTGCCTCCCTACTTCAGGCATGTTGCTAGGAGGACCTATTCCTTGGAGAGGGATATGATGAAGGTAGAGGGCTGGCAAAGGAGATAAAGATCCTCAACCAAATGGATTGACACTGCAATGGGCTCTAGTGTGTCAGGAAGTTTGAGAATGGCACAGAATAGAAAACAGTTCAGATCTTTTGTTTAGAGTTGTTATGAATTGTATTCATCTTGATGGCGCCTAACAACACTATATCCCTGCCATTGGAGAGGGACATCATGCTTGGAAGGATGTGGAGCAGGCGAAGGAGAGAAAGGCTTCCAATAAGATGAATTAACGCAGTGACTTCAGCAGTGGGCTTCAGTGTTTTAGGGATGATGAGGATAGTACAGGATAGGACAGGGTTCAGACTGGCTGTTTGTAGGGCGGATATATGAGTCGTACTTGGTAGCTTTTAACAACATCCACAACCAAACACAATCAAGCGTTCTGGGATTGCCATTCTCAGAGTCAGCCACAGTTTGCTGTGATCCGCACAAATGCCTTTGCATAGCCAATGAAACACAGATAGACATTGTTGTTGTTGTTGTTGTTATGTGCCGTCGAGTCGTTTGCGACTCATAGCGACCCTATGTACAACAGCCCTAAACCGTGCTCTATCCTGTGCCAATCTCATTGCCTCTGACACACCCATCCTGATTACCCCAGTCACTGAATCAATCCACCTCATAGAGGGTCTTCCCCTCCTGCGCTGTCCCTCTACTCTACCCAGCATGATGTCCCTCTCTAAAGACCTGTCTCTCCTTACAACATGTCCAAAGTATGTCAGACGAAGCCCCAGAATCCTTGCCTCCAAGGAGCAGCCTGGTTCAACCCTCTCTAGGATGAATCTGTTTGTTTTCTTGACAGTCCATGGTACATTCAATACTCTTCTCCGGCACCACAGATCAAAGGCGTCAATTCTCCTTCTATCCTCCCTAGTCATTGTCCAACTCTGATGCATAACAAGTGATTGAAAAAATCATGGCCTGTATCAGGCACACCTTAGTCTCCAGAGAGACACCGTTGCTCTTGAGTACTTTAGAGAGGTCCCTAACCGCAGACTTTCCCATCGCAATATGTTTTCTGATTTCCTGGCTACTGGTGCCAAGAGTGTTGACCATGGAGCCAAGCAAACTGAAGCTGTGAACAATCTCAATTTCTTCGCCATCCATCCCGATGCTACCGATTGGTCCAGTGGTGAGAATTTTTGTCTTCTTGACATTGAGCCTCAGTCCATATTGAAGGTTGCAGTCCTTGACCCTCTGCAGTAAGTGCATGAGGTCGTCCTCAGTTTCAGCGAGCAGGGTTGTTTCATCTGCATAATGCAGATTGTTGATAGATCGTCCACCAATCCTAACGCCACGCTTCTCCTCATAGAGCCCTGCCTCTCGGATAATCTGCTCTGCATACAGGTTGAAAAGGTATGGAAATATGCAAAGTTAATTTTTTAAAGTTTTTATTTTTGTGCTTATGTGAAACTTATACTTGGACCAGGAGGCCGTCATCAGAACAGAGCAAGGAAACACTGCATGGTTCAAAATCAGGAAAGGTGTATGCCAGGGTTGTGTCTGATCTCCATACCTTTTCAATATATATGCAGAACAGATTATCTGGGAAATTTAGTTTTATGATGAGGAATGGGCATCAGGATTGGAAGAAGACTCATCAGAGTGGTTACCTGTGTTATGTAGATGACACAACCCTGCTTGCTGAAACTGAGGAGGACCTGAGACATTTGCTGTAGAAGGTCAAAGTCTGCAGACTTCACTATGGATTGAGGCTCAATATCAAGAAAAGATTCTCATCACAGGGCGATTGGCAGCATCATGACAGATAGTGAAGAGATTGAGATTGTTAACAGCTTCAGTATGCTTGGCTCCACAACCAACAGTCTTTGTACCAACAGCCATGAAATCAAAAGACGAATTGCATTGGGAAATGCTGTCAGGGACATCTCCAGAGTATTGTGGGCAACAATGTCAGTCTGGAGACTAAGGTGTGCCTGATCTAGGCCATGGTCTTTGCAATTGCTTGCTATGCACCAGAAAACTGGGCAATGCCTAAAGATGATAGAAAGAAAATGGATGCCTTTGAATTGTGGTGCTGGAGAAGAGTACTCAATATACCATGGACTGCTAGGAGAACAAAAAAAGGTTTGTCCTGGAGAGGGTGAAACCAGACTGCTCGCTCCTTGGAGGTAAGGATTCTGAAGCTCCGTCTGACATACTTTGGGCATGTTGCAAGGAGAGACCAGTCCTTGGAGAGGGACATCACGCTTGGAAGGGAGGAAGAACACCAACACAAGAGAGGAAGACCATGAAGGAGATGAATTGTCTCATTGATTAGGGTGATGGGGGTAGGTGTGTCAGAGACAATGAGGATGTCTCAAGATAGAGCAGGGATCTGAGCTGTTGTACATAGGGTCACTATGAGTTGCAAACAACTCTATGGCACATAACAACAACAACAACAACAACAACAATTTCAATGAAGAAAAAAATTTAAAAATATGAGAATCAGTGGTACATCACTGTAATTCTCTGATTAACAATCCTCCTTATGAATATGAGTTGGTATAGTACTAGTATTTAGCTTTTCTACATCACAACCTCTGTATCTTGTAGGGTAACATGCCTCTGTGAAATAAACCCATGAGCTGATTTACTTACCTCTGTGTTGTCTCTGTCTTAGACGTGTTTGGTAGGGAGGACAGGATCAGTGACTGGAACTTCTTCCAGTGCATTATACCAGAAATAATGTCCTGTAGTGAAAGCAGGAAAAAGGTACCAAGTGTGAGAGAAATGGCTAGCAGGACAAAATCCAGCAACAACTTCTATTTCATTCAACTGTACTTGTTTTCAGTCTTAGAAGTTTAATTTGTAAATTTAACATGCCATTAAGTATAATTTAATTTTAATAATAATAACGACAACAATAAATGATAACTGTACCATAAAGGACACTGAACAAGACAATACATAACGATGTTTAAGGAAAATGAGAATTTTCCTCCCTCTTTCATCAGGTTTATGAGGTACAACATGTCCTCATGATGAAGGGCAGACTTGGTTTTGCATTTTTTTTAATACACAAAATTAATATTTATTCTACCTCTGTGTCATATTCTGGATCTTTCACCAATGTTACACAAGGAAGGGTAAAAAAGTAAAGGAAGTAAATGAGAAGAGAAATCAGAGTCACAAATGCTATCAATATGGAAGCAAATTAAAATCAGTGGCCACCAGCATGAACACAACAAAAACAATGCTGTGAAAACAAAGGTGCTCTTGATCATATGCTATTTCCTGAAATGGTTCTGCGTCAGCCAATTCTTTTTGGTACAGTGACTCCATGCATTTCTTCTATCTTCTTTTGATGCTTCCTAGATCTCTCAATATTTCCCCCATAGCATCCTGAAGTTGTGAAACTTGAGGCGTGAATGTACAAGAAGCTGGAGTCAGAAAACTAAAAGGGAAGAACATGTCTGGCATTTCTGAAGCCAAAGAAACCAAAGAACAAATTGAAACCTAGAGTTGCAATACTTTAGGATGCTATAAGCAAAATACTGAAGGATCCAGGAAGCATCAAAAGAAGATGGAAGTTATGGTATATTCACATAATGGAAAACTTTGCAGCACAAAGGAGCAATGATTTTGTAAATTATTACCTAACAGGGGAGGGGCTGGAGAGGATTATACTAAGTGAACTAATGCAATCTCATAAGGACAAATACGGTATAAGACCATTATAGAATGAGTATGAGGATCACACAATTTTATGGGTGGAGAGAGGGGTGGGTAAATGAAAGAGAAAAGATCTGGTGTGAAAAACAATGTATATAAACTTTCGAATTTTGTATGTAAACCAGTATAAAAGAAATTTTTTTAAAAAGAAGATAGAAGGAATATACAGAGTTACTATACCATAAAGAATTGGTTGATACAGAACCATTTCAGGAAGCAGTGTATAAAAAAGAACACTTGGTAATAAAGAAGGAAGTCAAAGTTGCTCTGAAGGAATTGGAGGACAAAAAGCCACAGGAATTGATGGACTATCAATTGGCATATGTGAACAAACAGATGTAGCCATAGATGTGATCATCATGTCATGCCAACAAATTTGGAGAATATTCATTTGCTCTCCTCCTCTAAAAGGTAATACAACAGAGTGTGGAAATTATTGAACAATATCACTAAAACCACATTCAAGCAAAATCTTACTGAAGCATATCTAAAAATGACAGAAAACTGCCAGGAATACAAGCTGGGTTTAAAAGAGACTGTGGGCACTAGAGCATACATTGCTGATGTAGATGGATCTTGGCTGAAAGCAGAGAGCACTAGAAGATGTCTATTTGTGTTTTATTGACTATGCAAAAGCATTTAATTGTATGGACCACAAAAAAATTGTGGCTAACTTTGAGAAGAATGGCAACCCCAGAACACTTGGTTATGCTCGTATGAAGCCTTTACTTAGACCAAGAAGCTGTTGTCGGAACAGAGGAGTCAAATAGCGCATGATCCAAAAATAAGAAAGGATATGCATCAGGGCTGTATTCTTTCTCCAGACCTGTTCAATCTGTACTCTGAACAAATCACTCAAGAAAGTTGGACTTCATGAAGAAGAATTTGGCATCAGGATTGGAGCATCATCAGAAACTTGAAGTGTTTGCTGCAGAAGGTTAGGGACTGCAGCCTTCAATATGGATTGCATCTCAGCACCAAGAAAATAAAGATCCTCACCAAAGAAAACAAAGGCCAATAGGCAGCATCATGATATATGGAAAAGAGATTGAAGTTGTTAACAATTTTATCTTTCTTGGATCCACAAGCTACACCCTTGGGAGGAGAGGCATTGAGGAAATATGTTGTGAAGGACCTCTGCAGAGTGCTAAAGAGCAACACTTTAAGTGAAGAGACTAAGGTGTGCCTGATCCAAGCCATGGTCTTTTCAAATGCTTGCTATGCATCTGAGAGCTAGACAAAGATGACAGAAAAAGAACTGATACCTTTGAGTTGTGGTGCTGGTGAAGAATACTGAACTTATTATGGACTACCACAGTAGGTAGTTCTTGTGTCCTGGTGGTATGACATTCTAATGCAATTCCAAAGGCACCTGGTTTGAATTCACCAGCTGCTCTGCAGCAGAAGGATGAACAATCTCCTCCTGTGGAATTAACTGCCTCTGACAATCTGCGGAGGGTCAGCTATAGGTCGATTCCAACTTGAAAGTACACAACAACAATGTGTACTGCCAAGAGAACAACTAGCTCTATCCTAGAAAGGGGGAAACTAGGTTTCTCCTTGGATGCAAGGATTTTAAAGCTCTGTCTTATATACTTTAAGCATGTTGCCAGAAGGGACTTGTATTTGGAGAAGGACATCATGCTTGGAAGGGTGGAGGGTCAGGGCAAGAGAAGATGACCTTGGATGAAATGGCAATGGGGTCAGGTGTGTCAGACTGTGAGGCTGGCTCGAGTTTGAGAGCCATTGTTCATAGGCTGTCTCTGAGTCTTAGTCAATTTGGTGCCACATAACAACAACAGATTAGGCCATAAGAACTCCCCATTTTTTCTAGGTCCTCAAATTTGTTGGGGTTTATTGTTTCATAGTATTCTGTTATCCTTTTATTTCCAGCTGTTTGTGTTGTGACATCATTCCATTCCATTTCTTATTTATATTATTAGCATGTTCTTTTTCTTTGCCAGTGTCTTTCCAATTTAATTAGTCCTTTCAAAGAAATAATCTTCTTGGCTTCCTTATTCTTGCTGTTGTTGTCCTATCCGGTATTTAATTATTTTCTGGAGGCTGTCAATATTTTTTTTCTGCTTGAAGTTGATGTTGAGTTAAAGTGTTGATTTTAGATCTTTTAAAAAATTTGTATGCTTAGTGGTAATCTGACCTCTGAGTATTGCTTTTGCTATTTCCTATGATAGTCCCATGTGGTATGTTTGTGTTTTCATTCTCATTTTTAAGAAAAAATTCAAATTTTTAAAATATTTTTTCCATTACCTAGTAATGTTTGCAAACAGAATGTTTGTTTCCGTGAACTTGTTATTTCCCCCTTGATCTTCCTTTTACTGATTTCTAATTTTATAGCATTGTGATCAGATGTTTTGAAGCATTTTTTAAAATAAAATTGTACTTTAATTGTGATCTTAACGAACATTTACAGAGAAGTTAGATTTTCATTCATTCATTGTTGCACATTTTACCCCCTCACCCACTCCCCCACCTCCCCCAGTCCACTTTGCAATGATATATCTCTTATTCTGGGCTATTGTCATGCTTATAATGCCTAATCACATATTCATTTTAGATAAGAGTGGATAGATAATGGTAATTGCATTGGAACAGATGAAAGAAAGAACTGTTTGAAGTATTTTTTAAGTCATTGAAATAAATAATATTGTGACGTAACATATGGTATCAGAAGTGGCATTCACTATCTAAACAACATGCCTCTGGAAACTCTGTTGACTCTAAATATTAATAGTTATAGAAAAGCTTCAGACATGTTCATAAGGTCACTATGAGTCATGCTTGACTCGAAGGCAATCAACAACAACAACAACAACAACAACATATGGTATATTCTAAATGATGTTTCATGTGCCCTGGTTGGGTGTTCTGTTTATAAAATCGAGTTTGTAACTGTATTTTAAAATTTTCTGTCTCTGATGGGTTTCTTTCTAATAATTCTGTCTTTCATTGGGAAGTATTGTATTCAAGTCACCTACTCTTATTGTGGAATTTTGAATTTCTCTACTTACAACTGTAAAATTTTTGTCTCTTGTAGCTCTGTCATTGGGAATGTGGATGTCAATTTGGTGCGCTGCTCTAAATGTGGCTGTGAATTACGTTGAGTTAGGTCATTTATATGTGTGTCTAGTGAAAGGCTAGAAGTCCAATAATAGGTGGTATCCCCACTAATCCAGGGCTGCTGCAGGCCAGGCCAGCTGAGCCTCCTGGCTCCCAGAGGGAGTCTGAATACAAAGCCATCTGCATGTTCCTGAGCCAGACAGAAAATGGCTCAGGCCTGCCCTCCGCTGGAGCTGGAACAGGCCCCTGGAGAACATTCCCTCACTTGGTGGGGGGTGGTGATGGAGAAAGTTACTCCCCTGATCCCAGAAGTGTATGGAAAACAAGGGGCCAAATTATAACTTTCTGTTGTCGCTGGTGTGGATAATGCTGTAGTTCTGGGTTCCCGCTGTGAGCAGTTAGCTGTTCAAAACAGTCAGGCTTCATTGTTTACAATCAAGTGCTTCATTTGTCTCCTTATTTGCTGTTTTCATATAGCTGCTTATTTTAGCCACTGTTGGAACTACAACATCTTTTTCTTCTAAACTTATCACTCCATTCACATCTGTAGCTTTGGCTTCTAGTGTATTAGGTGAAGAGGTGAGATAGGGCAGGCAAGCTAGACTGCAGGAAGGGTGTCTGGTCTTAGGTCGGAAAACCACATAGTAACATTTTCTCTTAATACACACACCATGTTACCAAGACCAGTTAGTTTCTGCTAAGCTGCTTTGTAGGTCACTGTTGTTAGGTGCCACTGAGTCAACTATGAATCCTAGTGACCCTATGAACAACAGAACTGAACCTTGCAATGTCTAACTCCATCCTTATGATCTCTGTTATGCTTAAGTCCATTGTTACGATCTCTATAATATCCATGTTGTTGAAGGTCTTCCTCTCTTTTCTCTGACCCTTTACCTTTGCAGCATGACACATTTTTCAAGGACTAGGCCCCTCTGACAAC